TAGGCGATTTAAAGGCTAAGGCAGGAGAAACAAGAAATTATCTAAAATGTAGGAAACTATGGGTTAGGTATTAGGAACAACCGAGGCGAACGTTTTATAGATTTTACAACCGAAAACAGTTTGGCCATTGTAAACACAATGCTCAAACATTATGACCGTCGTTTATCGACGTGGATCAGCCCAAATAGAGAATACAAGAGCCAAATCGACTACATATTGATTAGAAACAGTTGGAAGACATGTTATACAAACGTAAAAACTAGATCAAGAGCTGAATGTGGATCAGATCATAAATTGTTGTGGGCTTGCTTTAAGAGGAAGCTAAAAAGAATAATGCCGCACCAAAATCAAAACAGGTTGGAGATTTCAAATCCAAAAACATTTAGAGGTGCATTACAGGAAACTAGAAACTAGTCGACCCAGAAGAAATGACGAGAAAGGGGTTGCGGAGGTATGGAGAAAATATTCTCAAAGTCTATATGCAGATGATCCCCAGAATGCAAATCACGACAAGTTCACTGCACAGAGAGAAACAAACATTCTAAAGTCAAAGGTAGAAAAAGCAATCAAAAAGTTAAAAAATAAAAAATCTCCTGGCGCAGACCAGATCACCGTAAAAGTTTTAAAAGATACTAAAGATGTTGGAGTAAATGTTATGCATATGATCTGCAAAAAGATCATATGCATGGGAAACTGTAGAGTGGCTCACCAACTGGACAAGATCCACTTTCATCCCTATATTCAAAAAAGGAACTCTGCTAGATTGCAGCAACTACAGAACGGTAACCCTGATATTCCATGCAAGCGAGGTTCTACTTCATGTAATACATGAAAGATTAAAAGCTTTTCTATTGACTCAGATATCAGAAGAAAAAGCGGGATTTGTCCCAGGAAAAGGCAGAAGAAAACACATCCTTAATGTCAAACAACTAATCCAAAAAACTCAAATCGAATTCAATACTCCTATGCTTATGTGCTTTGTGGATTACACAAAGACCTTCGATCAAGTCAAATCGCAGCAGATATGATCCACACTAGCGAAAATGGGACTACCCACCACTTAATTCATCTAATTAGAAGTCTATATGGAAATAATAAGTGCACAGTAAAACTAAACAACACCCATTCCCATAATTTAAGAACAGAGGCAGGTATTAGGCAGGGATGCATAATTTGGCCAACTCTGTTTAATATCTACAGCAAAAATATGATGAAAAAAGTATGATACGTAGAAGGTTGACTATTGCTAAAATAGCTATGATGAAACTGGTAACAATTTAAAAAAATTCTAGCATAATAATACACACAAAATTAAGGCTGGCAAGGGCACTCATTTTTCCCATAGCCACATATGCATCCGAAACGTGGACCTTACAGAAAGCGGATGAAAATAGACTAGACGCTTTTGAAATGTGGGTATACCGCCGCATGTTAAGAATATCCTGGATTGATCATCTATATTAGAATATCTTAAAGTAAAGGATAGATTGCTTAAACAAATACAACAGCGATATTTGCAGTATTTTGGACACATTGCTAGAAGAACAGGTACGATGGAAAAACTGATAGTCGAGTGTAGAGTTGAAGGAAAGGGACCTAGGAGAAGATCTCCAAGCCGTTGGGTAGATCAAACAAAAATATTGATTAACCCTTTCGGTACGGCCGACGGATTTATCCGTCAGTTAAAGAATGTACCCACCGGCCGGCTGACGTATATATCCGACATTGTTTAATCGTGTCCATTGGCCTACTGCCTTATCGATGCGACACCTTCAGAAACTTTCGTTTCATCACAGACGATCGCCGTAATTTTAAGTCAACGTTAGGTTGACCGCATAGCCGGACGGCGGAATATTTCGGCAATGCCGAAAATATACGACGACCGGCGGCAAGGCACGTAGATTGTCTGCATCATGCCAGAGAACATACGAACACAATCATGCTTGCATTTTTTTGCTGGTGTTAGTCTTACTCGAAATGTCGGTGGAAGAGCGTGCCGGTCCCTCTGAAAGGCCAACACGTGGCCAAAAGCGTAAGCAACAAGATTTCAGTTATTGTGGCTTAGACGAACGTGACATTAGACACATTCTCAACGTTACGGATGGGAATGATTTATACCTTAGTGAAGAAGAGCCATTTCAGAACAGCGGCAGTGAATACCACCCTGATTCCGAAAGTGAAAATGTTATTTCTGAAGTCTCTTCAATCGACGAAAAAGACGAGCCCGAACAAATAACACAAAATGAGGAACTAGAGGATGTGGAAGCTCTATTGCAGCGACGCGAACAGGAATTAATTTGGACCAAGAACGAATTTGTTCCTCGAATACACGAATTTGACCAAAGTGAAAGTGGTTTGAAGAGTAATAGCCTAACTCCAGAGTCAAAAGAAGTAGATTTTTTTGTGAGCCTGTTCTCGGAAGAAATAGTAAATATAATTGTGATGGAAACTAACAGGTACGCTACCCAACAGAATGCTAAAAAGTGGAAAAATGTTAATCTTCCAGAAATGTATGTTTTTCTTGCACTAACTATGTTGATGTCACGCGTCAAGAAATTAGAAATGAAGGAGTACTGGTCTCAGGATAATTTATTGCATACGGCAATTTTTCGTCAAAGGATGTCAAGAGACAGATATTTTCTAATTCGCCGTTACTTGCACTTTTGTAATAACGAGGAAGTGCAAGTAAATAATCGTTTGCATAAAATTGACCACGTAATGCAAAAATTAAAAATAAACTTTCAGAACCACTTTTATCCATTCAAGAATTTAGTTATAGATGAGAGCATGGTCTTGTTCAAAGGAAGGTTGTGTTTTAAACAATACATAAAAACTAAAAGGCATCGCTTTGGCATAAAATTATACGTTCTTTGTGATTGCGAAACCGGCATCGTTTTAGATTTCATAATATATGCAGGTAAAGCAACAAATATACAAGGCCAAGAAAATCAGAATCTGGGTGTTACGGGAGCCATTGTTGCTAAACTATTAAGCCCTTATTTAAATAAAGGGCATTCGTTATTTACTGATAACTTCTATACCAGTCCATCTCTGTCAAATTATCTGTTCCAAAACACAACGAACTCTTGCGGCACGGTACGACAAAACCGAGAACAGATGCCGCTGTTTGAAAAGAAGCTAAAAACTGGTGAAGTCGACTATAGAAGCAGCGATACTATGTTGGCCCTGAAATGGAAAGACCGCCGCGATGTTGTTATGCTGACAACAATGTACGAAAATCAAATTGTAACACTTCCTAAGATAAGCAGTATTACAAAGGAAAACATAAAGAAACCTCCATGCGTTGTAGAGTATAACAAGCATATGGGTGCCGTCGACAGATCGGACATGATGATTAGTAGTATTGATTGCACTCGTAAGTCAAGCTATTCTTTCATTCGTTGGATGTTACCTTACTAAATGCACACGCAATGTTTTTGACGCAACATGCAGGAACGGTTCCAGTTGCAAAGTTTCACTTACAAGTTATTCGGCAGTTGTTGGAAAGGTATTTTATAGCACTAAGTTTGGCAACCAACGTTTCTAATAAAAATATTTGTTTCAGATATGCAGCAATTGAGGCACAACCAATTCATTTTGATCAAGGGAATTCAAGACTGACAGAACCGCATTTTCCGGAATTGGTTCCAAGGAAAGAGGGAAAGAAAAGCGCTACTAGGAGAGGCAGATTTTGCTCCCAGACAAAGGCAGGACCAAAGAAGAGAAAGGAAAGCAGCTATATGTATAAAGAATGTGATGTTGGGCTATGTGTAGTGCCCTGTTTTTAGATTTATCACCAATTAGCCGATTTTTGAAAGTTAACTTTTTATTTCTATTTCCTTTTAGTTTAGTCCTGAGTTTTTTTTATTATATATTTAGCATTTAAATCTTTGGTTTTTCTTACGTAATAAAGTTTTTTCACTGTATGGTTTCCCTTGTTACTGTTTTTTTTAACTTTTATTACGGTGACGGTTATACACGTCATCCGGCGCAGAGACTATCCAAAATGTGCCGGCGGTAAGGAAAGTACAATAAACAAAGGCCAAAGGCCCCGTACTGAAAGGGTTAACCAAGGGTTACATGAAGCCGAACAACTAGCCCAGGACGCAGAAGGATGCAGAGAAATCGTGAGAAAACTGTAAAGGCCTGATGGTGCCACCACGTCCCAAAAGGGATTAGGACTGAGGAGAAAGATTGTTTAGTTCGATTATATAACTCTCTTATTTATACATCTATGATTGAATCATGCTTTAGTTGAAACAATAATAATAGTCTTTTATACAACCGTAGGCAATTGTTGTGTGCGCATATATTCCAGCGCTATTATTCTTAATTTCGGTCCTGATGCGCCGCTCGGGTCAAAGCGGCAACGTGGTCGACCGTTCTCCCATAACAAATACATTACCAATCTTACCTGCACTGTATTCCAACTGTGACTTCTACTATAGACAAAATACACTAATTGATGTAACGATAAATTTCGATTCTGAGTGTTAAATGCAATTAGAAGATTGCCAAGTACAGAGGTTATAACAATCTAATATAACTCTTATTGCTTAGGCGATGTTATGTTTTATCAGTACTATACCACGGCATGAAATCATTGACACGTACCTAAAAGAACAATGTGAATAAAACAGAAGCTTTTTGACCCTGGATGTATCGTAAAAATAAAAAAAAAATTAAGTTTTACTGACTAGTAAAAAAAGGAACCTGCTGTAAGACACAACACGAATGGATAAATTTTTAATTAGGTACTTCAGATAACCTTGAGATAAACATTATCCAGAAACACCGGCCCGTACATTAAACACAGGAATTTCATAATTGGGTTTAGTGCTGTTATAAGTAGAACAAACGAATAAAGTATGTGTAACACCGAGAATCAAATGCTATAAATATAAAACTATAAAAGTATCCCATAAACAATACAATTTAAACGAACTTACAAATTTAGTTTTTATCTACTTGATGTTTTGTAGATGTTGATCAACACTTACCTGTACTGTAAATTTTATCTCGACATAAACAACCACAAAAACCTTTGCACTGACAGTTGTTTACTAACAAGAGCAAGTTTAAATTGAATGTCGATGTAGGAATGATTCACGTTAGTAACTCTCGTACTGAAATATTGTATGTACCTACTAAAATATCGGAAATAATGATTCACTAACCCAAACAATACAGAGGCGGCTTAGAAATTCTGTATTTTTTGGACGTAAATATATAATATTATGCAATATACCCTACACAACAATTGAAGTGGATAATTCTAAAATTCCTAAAATTAACATAAAAAACTATACTTAAAATAATTGCCTGCACTATACTCCATATGCTATCTTTATTGCCAATATTTTTTTCATATGGTTTTTTTCTTCCTATTCTTATCGGCCCTTATCTCGTACAAAGACAGACATGTTATTTCAAACATGAATATATCATTCGTATAAAAGTGCTTGTATTGGCTTTCCCAGTTGTTAATAAGTTAAGAAATCTATTTATCACAAAAACATTATGCGGCAAAGACGTTTAGAACTAGTGCAGCTCGAGCAATTAGTTCGTTGGATCCAACAAGGCATAACTCAACAAGAGGTTGCTATGAGGCTAAATGTGTCAGACAGTGTGATAAGTCGTGCATGGAATCGGTATGTAGCAACTGGATCTGCAACATACAGGCATGGAGGAGAAAGAGAACTATCTACAACTTGTCTGCAAGACCGTTTTGTAGTTCTGACGGCAAGAAGAAAACCAACATTCACGGATTCCAGAATTAACAATATATTTAGATTTGCTACTGGACGAGCGATTTCCAGTCAAACTGTCAGAAGACGGTTACATGCATCCAATTTTAGGGCAAAACGGCGCGCTACCCATCCACGACTAACTGTGGAGCAGCGTGCAAGCAGATATCGCAGGGAGATGGAACACTATCAGTGAAATTTCGAAAATTGGAGGAATTGTCTCTACTGACCAGTTCAGATTTCGTTTGTATACGAATGATGGCCTAATAATGGTGCAGAGGGAAAGAGGACAGCGTTACAATGAAAATCTGAGAGTGCTAACCACTCTTTTTGAAGGTGGATCAGTTTGCGTGTGGGGAGGTATATGTTTTGACGGTCGCATCGGACTTAGTCGTCTTAATTATTGAGACAATGACTGCCACACGATATCGAGGCAGAGTCATAATACCAATAGTTGTTCCATTTTTTTGGTGCAATAGGCGAACAATTTGTTCTGGTTGATGATAATGCTCGCTCTCACCGTACGATAATTGTCAACGAGTATATAGAAGCTCATGACATTACAAGAATGGAGTGGCCACCATGTTCACCTGATACGAATTGCATTAAATATATTTGAGCCGAAATGTTTAGACAACAAAACAGGCGTCTTCAACCGCCCCAAACCTTAGATCAGTTGGCCAATACATTACGCGCGATTTGGGAACGTATACCGCAGCAGATCATCAATAATTTAATAAGAGGTCTTCCAAGTAGAGTTAGAGCACTAAGATGACACAGAGGTGGACCCACACACTATTAATGTTTCTTTTTGGAATATTAGAAATTGAGCAGGAATATAAATTTAAGGTTGTTAATTCTACAATTTTTGTTTATTTTCTATTTTCTTTTTCTTGAAGAATTCTTTTCTTTCGGTTGATCTGTATGAAAATACGAAGTAAAAATAAATCTTTATTTATATCACTCCATTTTTCTATTTGACCTTATGAACAAATGATAATTTTCGAGGATCATATATGGTCGCCTAAGTACATATTCAGAGGAACTTCTCGGGGAATATCAAAGTGGCTTTAGGCCTGGTCGATCAACAACAGATCAGATCTTTGTGCTAAGGCAAATACTAAAAAAAACCAATGAATTCAATATCGATACATACCATCTTTTTGTAGATTTCAAATCTGCCTATGATAGTGTCCTAAGAAATAAATTGTATGAAGCAATGAATGAATTCCACATTCCCGATAAACTGATAAGATTGGTTAAGGCTACAATGCGTAATGTGGTTTGCAAAGTCGAAATACAGGGCGAACAATCACAGGCGTTTGGAACGCTTGTTGGGCTGCGACAGGGAGACGCGCTGGCGTGTCTCCTTTTCAACATAGCACTGGAAAAGGCAATCAGAGATGCCCGAATAGACAACAGAGGAAATATTTTTAATAAATCATCCCAAATTTTGGCATATGCAGATGATGTGGACCTAGTTGCCCGCACAACACGCAAGCTAGAAGAAATGTATACCACCTTCTCAAATGCCTCAAAATCTATTGGCCTGCAAGTATATGAGGAGAAAACTAAGATGATGGCATCAACACCCAACAATAGAGCCAGGAACATCGGTCCCCAATTCACGGTTGATAACTCTACCTTTGAAGTGGTTGACAAATTCACATACTTAGGCTCCCTGATTACCAAAGAGAACGCCATAACGGAAGAAATCAAGCGAAGTATAGTAATGGCAAACAGATGCTATTTTGGACTGAGTAGACATATGAGAAGTAGAAGAAAAAAGCCAAAAAACAAAAATAACTATATACAAAACCCTTATACAGCCAGTGTTGACATATGGATCGGAGACATGGACCATCTCCAAGGCAGACGAAGACCTTTTGCTTATATTTGAAAGAAGGATCCTGAGAGGAATATTTGGTGGCATCTGTGAAAATGGTGTTTGGAGGAGGAGATACAACTACGAGGTATACCACAGATATAAACAAATATTTGGTGGTAAAGACGTAGTATCTCTTATAAGAATAGGAAGATTAAGATGGGCAGGACATCTAGCAAGATCACAGCAGAACAACCCTCCTAGAAGAATCCTTATGTCACAACCCGTGGGAAGCAGAAAAAGGGGTAGGCCAAAACTCAGATGGAAGGATGGTGTAGATGAGGATGGTAGAAAGATAGGCGCAGCAAACTGGCAGCGGTTGGAAATGGATAGGACTGCCTGGCGTAATAGACTTGGGAAGGTCGAGGCTCTTTCATAGGGCTGTAGCACCATTGATGATGATGACCTTATGAACCAAAAATAAAATACACATTTTCATAATATCCACTTCAATTGTTGAGAAGTGTGTATCGAAAATCTTGAAATAATCAAAATAATTAAACGGAATCCTTTGTGTCCCCACTGATATAATGTTTAAAAAGAAAAGTTACCACAAAAAAATTAATAAAATTTTTTTTTTGAAAACTGTTTATTTATAATTTACTATACATAATGTTTGCTTTAATGGGCTTTGTTTTGCCGATGAAGAGCTCCGCACTCTGCAAGATGACACTATTAAAAGTATATGACACGAGTGTATATTCCATTTGAGCAAGAAAGATATTGGGCAAGGCTGACCTAACAGATTCTTAATGGTAATAGGGTGATGATCACTATCATAAGTATACTCAAGAACAGTCCAAGAGAGACGTGGAACTAGACCTTGATCTTCTTCTTCTTCTTCTACTTCTTTAGCCTTAACTAATCCTTTCTTATACAACATAAGACCATATTCGCTATTTATTCTGTTTAGCTTGTTCATTATTTGGACCAGTTCCACTTTTGAGCAACTTATATTAGAGTTCTTCTTATTTTTTGCCTTAAGTAATCTAACTTGGGACACGGATCTCCCCCAAATCAATCCAGTGATTTCTATTTTGCGCGACTTGCTTCCAGTTGTGTCCTCCGATCTTCTTAATGACATCAGCCCATCTTATTTGTGGTCTACCTCTGCTTCTCTTTCCTAACCATGGTCTCCATTATATTTCGTGGTTTCACCTTTTATCCGTTAGTTGGGCATTATGTCCTGCGAAGCTCCATTTTAATTTGGCGGCATGTTCTTTTGCGTCTTTTTGGTTTTGCTTTTAATCCATTTTTTTTGTTTTTTGTCTATAAGTCTCACCCCGAGCATTGATCTTTCCATCGCTTTTTGTACCTTTTCTACTTTATCCATATTAGACTTGGTGAGTGTCCACGTCTGTAAGCCATACGTGAGTATAGGGAGGATACACTGATCGTAAATTCTGGATTTCAAATATTGTTCTATTTTAGTGCTTTTTAAGATACAACTCTGTTTTCCAAATCCTGCCCACGCTAACCTTATTCTTCTGGTAATTTCGGCAGTTTGTTTTTTTTTTGTTAATTTTCATTATCTATCCCAGGTAGATGTATTCGCTTCCTGTTTCTAAATTTAGGTCGTTCAACGTTATTTTTCCAATGTTCGGTGTATTTGTCATTAACTTTGTTTTTCCAAGTTCATGTTAATAACTGCTTTTTCCAAAGCTTGAAATAGTGGCGTCATAATGGTCTGTAGTTCTTCAAAACTTATAGCGAATATTACAATGTCATCAGCCTATCTCAAATGACTTAATTTTCTTCCATTAACATTTGTTCCTTTATCTGCCCAGTGAATGTCTTTGAATACGTCTTTCTGTCCAAGTGTGAATAGCTTTGGTGAAATAACATCTCCATGGATCACACGAGCTTAAATCTATCATGGATGATTCTCCAGTGTAGATCTTAAATTTTGTAGGTAAGCCATCATTTAGGAAATTCAATTGAAGATCCTGCATTACCTTTTCTAGAAGTTTTCTTTTGTGATCAGTACGCTTAGAATCCCAAATAAAGTTATGATCACTAAAATTACCTACTATGATTCAAGGAGAGGGTATCTGTTCGATAAGCCATTTTAAATTTTCATATGTAGCTGAGGAACTAGATGGAAGGTAAATGTTACATACAAAAATTGAAAAAAGAGCGGTAATATCCATAACTATAGCTTTAATTTACTATTAACAGGAAAAACATTTGCAACCAAAGATGTTTTGGCATGTGTCATAATTCCACCTGAAAAGTAATTATTGTCACGTACTCTTTACTCTATCTTTTTTAAAAATGTTAAAATATTTGGAATTATAGTTTTTTGGAGGTATAAATTTGTTTCTTGGAGACACCTATTTCGGTAGAGAATTCAGAAATAAATTTAGGATGTAACGATGAAAGTCGATGAAAAAATCCATCTATATTCCATTGCAAAAGTTTAGTGAATTTAT